CGGTTGCACTCTAGGAGTTTCTTCTTGCGGAGCGAATCTCGTGAGTGAAAGTTGTTTCCCCAGCTTTGGCCGGACTAAATAGAAATAATTCTGCATCTTACAGTTAATATTAATTAACACACGGCGGGGGGGGGGGGGGGGCAGAGGGCGCTGGTGGGCGGTCCTCAGCCGGGGCCCGCCCCCCCCCGCCCCCCGGCCGCACCCCACCTCCCCGAGCCTGCGGTTGACTGGGTTTGGGATGCGCGCGCTCTCTCCTCTTGCAGGGTGCCGGCCCCCTGGGTCCCATGGAGCACCCCTCCCCCCGCAAGGCTAGAGGAGGGTTGGAGGGGCTGCCGGAGTTGTGCCCGCGGGCAGATTCCTCCCCGGCACTTCCTCCACACCCCCCTGACCTGGCTTCTCAACAGGCACAAGGGGGTGCTGTGAAGCTGACCCAGCCCAGCGGGCCCTAGGACCCACGCCACGGGTAGTAGGGCCCAGTGACCAGCGGGACTCCCTTTAGGCCCTCACACCCTATCAGGCAGGGACCCCCACCCTGCAAGCAAGGAGCAGGGTGCTCAGCCCAGTCGCTTGTCCCTGCTCCCACAAGGGCTCCGGGCACTTGCCAGAAGCCTAGCACAGTCCCCTCCTCAGCCTGAGACCTGGCTGTGCCAGCTACCCCGCTGGGGTCCTCACCAGTTGAGGTTCTGGAAGCGCTTCTGGTAGCTCTGCGCTCGCCGCACCTTGCCTGTGTCCCGGTCCTCCAGCTCGATTCCGTAGAACCCCAGCATGAGCTCGTAGGCCTGGACAAGCCGCTGCCCGGCTTCCTGGGAGCTTTTAAAGGCCTGGAAAGCAGCCCCGGGAGAGCGAGCGCTTTGGAGCCGCCCCACAGACACCCAGCTGGCGATGCCCCCTCAGGTCTGACTCACTAGAGGCCGGGACTGGACTCAGACTCAGGCTGAAGAAGCCCTAAAACTCCTTAATGTGACCGTCTCTTTACTCTGAGCGCTACAAGGCCACCAGGGCCTGAAGTGTCCCCTTTAGTCCTGAGAGGAATTCTCAAGCCGCTGGGAAGAGCTCAGGCCTCGCCAGGGCAGCATCGTGCACTCGCATCGCCTAGGAGCATGCTGCGCCTCCTGACATGCTCAGTGGCTCCCCCATCAGTCCCTCTAGGGGTCCTGCTCCTGCCCCAACAAGGGGCGACAGAGGCTAGCCCCTGCCCCAGACGCCCCAAGGTAGAGTGATTTCTCTGGAAGTCTGTGAGGAGTGCCTGGGGAGAGGTGAGGAACACTTTAGAGGGAAGATAATTAGGGGGACTTCCAGCTCCTGCCCTACGAGTGGCTCCCCAGGGATACACAGAGGCCCGGCTCACCTCGATCTCCTGCTGCGTGAGGGGCTTGGCATGCCAGTTCACCCCTGGCTCCCGCAGGGGAAACAGCCTGTGGGAGAAGAGAGAGCACAGGCCCGTCCCTGGCAGCCTCGGGCTCCCGGCAATGCGGGCACATGCTGCTGGGCAGCCTGGAGTGGCTCACCACTCAACCCTGGGAGGGGCTCGCTAGGCCACACGTCGAGGCTCTCACAATAAAGTCAAGGGGTGAGGGCAGGAGAGCTCCAGGGTGGGCATCACAGACCAGGGCACAGGACAGGCACGTGTGGCCTACAGCAAGGGCAACCAGCTAGCCGTTTCGCCCAGGCCGGCCAGCTGTTCCTTCTGTTCTTCGTTCTTCCCCTCTCATCACTGATGCTGAGAGTTGCCTGTGCCCAGGAGAGGCCCCCTGGGAGCCGTCCTCAAAGACACACTGTTTGCAGGGCGACCACAAGCCACGCAGGACAGGCTGCACGCGCTGCCGCGGGGCTCACGTGCGGCAGGCTGCTGTCTGCTGTCCTTCCTGCCCCACGCGCAGCCTCAGCTCCCAGCCAGCACAGAGCTGCTCACAGTGAAGAACCTGAGCCGGCAGTGCCCGCAGCCAGCACCAAACTCGGCTTCAGAAAGGACGCAGTGTGCCTGCAGGCATGCATGGGACTCCAGGAAGAGGCTTGCCTAAGCCAGGCCCTCCAGCCTCTCCCCTGGAGACCCTCCCCAGAGGTCCAGCCCCACCTCAGCCCCCCAGCTCTGCCCCTCCTCCCCAGGAGTCCCAGCCCCTCCCCAGATGCCGAACCCACCTGTGCTCCGAGCCCCACGCCCGCCCTCTGCTCACCACTGGATGTAGGAATGGTTGTCCTCCAGGAGGTCGTAGTTGTCCCTCCATTTCTCAAGAATATACTCAATGCGATAGCCTAGAGCACCATGGGACGCATCAGTGAGTCAGTGGGGAGCTATTCAAGCGCTACCCACCTTTTTTTTTTAAATCCTCACCCAAGCATTTTTCCCCCCACTGATTTTTAGACAGAGTGGAAGGAAGGGGGAGAGACAGAGAGAAACACTGATGTGAGAGAGAGACATCAACTGGTTGCTTCCCGCACGCACCCTGATTGGCATGGAGATCGAGCCTGCAATGGAGGTAGGTGCCCCTGACCAGACTCAAACCCGTGACCCTTCTGTCCGCAGGCCGATGCTCTACCCACTGAGCAACTGGCCAGGGCTACCACCTTTCTTGAGGACCTTGGGGCTCTGCAGCTTTGAGTTGTACATCTCATGTGATTTTAATCCCCCAATTTAGGCGCTCAGCCTCTTTGCAACCTGAGAGCAGATGCCAGAGAGAGGATTATGCCCGAGGGAGGGACAGGTGCTCCCCAACCTGCAGCTGTCTTTGCTGGAGGGTCCTCACTGCCCCTCACACCAGGGCTTATCATCAGAACTCTGCCCTCACACAACCTGCAGCTGAGCCCCACCCCGTAGCTGGTCTTCCACTGGCCACTGTGTCTGCCAAGGGTCCGGCTGAGAATTTAAGGTGTGCGGCCACATGGCCTCTGAGGCAATTACGCTGCATCCCAGGGAAACAGCCACAGACCACGGGTTCCAATAACACTTCCCTCATGGCCCGGACGGCCTGGCTCAGCATGGTGCGTGCCTGGTTGAGCATCGAGCTATGAACCAGGAGGTCACAGTTTGATTCCCAGTTGGGGCACATGCCAGTGTGGGGGGTGCAAGAGGCAGCTGATCAATGATTTTCTCTCATCACTGATGTTTCTATCTCTTTCTCCCTCTTCCTTCCCCTTCCTTCCTCTCTGAAATCAATAAGGAATATGTATATGTATATATATGTATATAAACTTCACTCATGGACACTGAAATTTGAATTTCATATAATTTTCAAGTCACAAAATATTATTCTACCTTAAAATTTTTCCAACCATTTGAAAATGTGAAAACCACACTTGCTCACTCGTTGGTGTATGTGGCTCTCCCACTCAGCAGAAGAGCCAAGTAGTTGTGACAGAGACCTCGGGCTGCAAAGCCACCCGCATGTACCGCTTGGTCCATCACAGCAAGTTTGCCTGTGGGGGGCGCTGTGGGGCTACCTGAAAGCTATAGGCCCCAGTGCCCCAGTCCCAGCCCAGGTCCCAGCAGCCCAGGTCCCAGAAGACCCAGAGGCAGAGAGAGGGGAGAGGGGACCTGCAGCAGGAGGGAGCTGCAGGCGGCCAGGCACGCACCATTAGGCCGGAACGGGATCTCGTTTTTGTAGAAACTCAGGTTTGGCATGTCACCATTGCTGTCCCCTTCCATCAAATCCTAAAGAGCCAGAGAGAGTGCCGGTGACAGAATCAGAAACAGGCTGGCCTCCCTGGGCCCTCAGACTAAAGCTTACCTGGGGGAGGGGCATCTGCTCTCCACGGGAAAACACCAGACATCCTGAAGGCTGGTGAGGACCCCATGTGGCAACCTGGGCTCCTCACCCACCTCTGACCTCCTCCTCCTCCCCAAAGTGGACCAGTGCCGGGAGGTCCCCTTCACCTGCACCCGGAGGCGGCCCAAGGGCTTCCTGAGACTCATGGGTGCAGAGGGCAGGGGCTGAGGACACAGGAGACCACTGCAGGGGCAGGCGGTACGGGGCCTCATGTGGCCGTGCCGAGAGCTGGCACCAGAGGCAGGGGCCAAGGAACACGCTGTGCCACTGGCCTCGTCCGGGTGCAAGGCGGGAGGGTTTAGCCCCAGGTGGGCTGCGAGGGTTCGAGGGTGCTTCAGGCAGCTACGTACCGGGTAGTGGTGCCGGTACCTGCGTGTGTCCTGCATGGCTCTCCAGTTTGGGGACCCCGTCATCCTAGACTGGGAAGAGAAGAGAGACGATGAGACCCCATGGGAGATGCCCCCCCCCCCCCCTTGAGTGCCATCCTGGTGAGGGCAGCAGGGACCTGGGCCAGATGTCAACAAAACCAGAGGAGCCCAGAGTGGCTGGAGTGAGGCCTGCCCCCTGCTCAGCCCTCAGGACCCCCAGGCCCATGGGAACATTCTTGGGGGGCAGCCCTCCAAGCTCCAGCTTCACTTATTGGCTACCCCCCTCAGCTGCAGTTGTATCTCCCGAGGAAACCCCGCCTTCCGCAGCACTTCCTCCTTGTACTGAGCTGTAAATTGTCACCAGGCCTGTGTCCCAAGGACAGCGCCTTGCCACTTATAGCTCTCGGAGGGGCCCAAACCTAGTCACAGGGTCTGATAAAGGAACCAACGACCAAAGCCCAGGGCGCCAGGCCCATCCCGCCCAATCCCACTGCTCAGTGACCAGACCCTGGATCTCCTGGCCACCAGCCCTTTCTCTGCAGCAAGTCAGAGGCTCCTCGCTTCCCTCCCAAACCAGCAGCCCTGTCTCTACAGGCCAAGCACCTGGGTCCTGGGAAGGACGAGAGGTAACTGGCGAGCAGGAAGCTAAGTAAATGCAACCCCCCCCCCCACCTGTTACAGGGTGGGGGGCACAGGCAGGGCAGAGCCCAGCTGTCTGACTGAGGCTGGGGGAGGGGGCGCGGGAGGGGCAGAGACAGCTCATCCTGGGCAGACAGCTGGGTCCCAGCACCTGGGAAGAACCAAGAAGTGCTGGAGGGGTCAGGAGGCCAGGTCCACCACGGCGCCTCCAGGCTCCAGTCCCTCCCCAATCCCCAACACCCCTCAGTGGTCTGAACTCCAGCCAGGTCCAGGGCTGCCCCCTGCCAGCTGCTTAGGTTCTCTCCTACAGGCCAAGGGCCAGGGAACAAAACCGAAACTCAGCGGGTGCATGTCCCACTTCTCCACCAGTTTCTGTTTCTCCTGCCCCTGGGCCAGCGGGCACCATACGGGCAGCACTGCAGGTGGAGTCCTCTGGGAAGCGGTCAGAGCAGGCCTCCAGCAGCGTGGTCTGTGGAACTGGGAGGACAGCGTCCTCTACCTAAACCTTGCCACACCTGCTGGAGGACAGAACCGGATTCCTGCCCCGTGACTCCAGGCCCACGACCCTGACCACTGCCCAGCCTGCCTCCTCAGGGAACTCGTCCCTGCCCCAACACTGGGTGCGCTGAGGCCACTGCCTTTCAGGCAGGCCCAGGAGCCTCTCGGGGTCCCTCTCTTTGATCCCTGTAAGACATTGATAAACCTGAAAACCAGTGTTCTCCTCTGGTCCCGGGAGAATCCATCCCAGAGACCACCTGGATGGCTTCAAGATTCTCTAGACACAGGCAAGACGCCTTAATCTAAAAGCAAATGGGACCCAGGGTGCCAGCTACCATTCCGGGTGCCATCCCTCCCTAACTCCTGGGGCCCAGCTAGAGCAGTGGCACCCACACCTCAGTGCATGCTAGCAAATAGCCCCTGCTAACAAGTAACCAGTGGCAAGACAAGTACTTGGTGGCAACAAAAGTAACAGTGCAACAAGTAACCAGTGGTAACCAGTGGTAACCACTGGGCACATCCAGGGGCCCTGGCTCCCAAGCCACATGAATGCAGCCCCCAAGGCACCTCCAGGAGGGGGAAGGCCAGCCCCAGCCCAAGAGGAGCAGCAGGGGTGGGTCAGGCGTGGAGGGGAGGGGGAGGGTGGGGAACAGGCCCCGGTGCTCCCTGAGGGCCACCAGGAGGCCCAGAGGCAGGTGGGCAGTGGAGGTGGCCAGCACCGAGCGCTGGGATCTAGAAGACAGAGCCCCAGGCCTGGAGGTGGATGTGAGAGAGAGGAGGTCAAGGATATGTCAGGGGCACCCTTTTGAGGAAATGTCACCCCCACACAGATTCAGTCCTGGGCACCTGTCTTAGGGTGGCCCTGGATCTTTCTGCAAAGCCTCCTGTCTGGGCCAGGGGGTGGGGGTGGCAAGCAGGGGCAGATCTCAGGGTGTCCATCAGATTATGAGGGGAGCAGGAGGACCAGGGTGGGGAACTGGGCACAGCTGGAGAGGGAGTCGACCCCCAAGTCGGGTCTCCAGGAGATGCCTCCGTCCTCCCACCCCCCACCCCCACCCCCGGTGGGTGAGAGGGAGTGGACAGTTTTTCCCAGATCAGGGCCTGGCTCCCATTCTGGGGTGCGGGGGATCGCGGGTCTCCTGGGTGCGGGTCTCCCGGGGCGTGGGGGTGCGGGGGCTGCACCTGCAGCGCGCTGGGCCTCGCCTCCTCCTCCTCCTCCTCCTCCTCGTCCTCGTCCTCCGCGTCTCCCAGGGCGCCGGCCTCGCCATCGTTGTCGCCCCCGGCGCTCGGGCCCCCGCCGTCCTCCTCCTCCTCGTCCTCCTCCTCGTCCTCCCAGGTGGAGTCGTGGTCCGGGTCGTCCATGCTCGGGTGGCGGCGGGACCGCGCTCCGCCGGAAGCGAAAGTGAAACCGGGAGGAAGCGCGGGGGCGGGGCGGGGCGGGGCGCCCAGGGTCGCGGGGCTGCCGACTCCGCCCGCCCAGGGTGCCCGCCCTGGAAGGATGTGCCCTGGGGCTGCCTGCGCCAGACGTCCCAACCCGAGACTGCCCCTTCCCTTGCCCAGAACGTCTCCCCTAGAGGGTGTCCCCCACCCGAGATGCCAGCCTGGGGCTTCTCACAGGGAGGCTGCCCCTGAGGAACAGCCCCTGGAGGTTGTCCACAGAGGGTGCCTGTCCTAGGACCCCCCCAGATCCCCCCCCAGATCACCCCCAGGTCACCCCCCCAGGATTCCCCCAATGTTCTCCCCTCCGAGAACGCCCCCCCTGGAGGACACGACCCGAGATGACCCTTCCCCCCAGAGAATGCCCTTGGAGGAGGCCCCCAGGAGGGTACTGCCTGGAAGCTGTCCCCCAGGAATCCAATCCACCAGGATGGATTGGATTCAATCCGCAGTCCATCAGAGGCTCGTGTGGGGAGCCATCTAGTACCCCCCAGCTCCTCAGACTGTGGGGCAGGGGGCTGTGTCCCCTCCGCAGGGGCTCACACGGGTTTGCTCCCTGGAGGCCAGCAGGAGTGTCTGCAGGGCCCTGAGTCGCTGCGGCCCCAGCCCCAGCCCCAGGGGCAGAGAGGACGGGTCACCCAGGAGCTGGGAGGCGAAAATCACCTGCAGCCGCCAGTTTCCCAGTGCCTGTGGGTCCCTTATGCAACCTTGGCTCTGAGGTTTGCTGGGTGACAAGAGCTCCAGCAAAGTGGGTGACGCACCCTCAAAATGAAACTTGGGAGTGGTCACCCCAGGTAAAACCGTCTTCTAGAACGACGACACCACGTTATTATCGCAAAAAGCAGCTAAAACCCAGTCTGCTCTTAGGCTCGGCCGTGAGGAGAGCCGTCTGTGGGTGATGGGGCCACAGGGGGGGCACAGCCCAGCCCCGCAGGGGGCGCGGATTCTCCCGGCCCCGCAAGAACCCAGCGGAGAGGGTTCGGCTGCCTGTGCCTGGGCATGGTGACGTCCTCCTACCGCGCAGCTGGTGACAGCCAGGAGTGGGACAGAGACTTCCAATCGCCCAGGAGCTCAGCGGGAGGCCTGTCTTGGTGCTGGTGCCACGGCTCCCTGACACGTCGACCTCCATCAACTCTCCGGCACAGCCCACCTGGCTGGAGCTGAGTCTGCTCCCCTTTCTAAGGACAGTGGTGACTCCCCCAAAGGATCGAGCCCTAGGCATTTCTGCGTGTCTGCCCCCAACGGCCAGGGCAGATTTCCTGGGGAGGGGCCAGCCCACAGGACTGGGCGATGGGCCTGACCTTGTTAGCCCATGTGCAGTTGGCCTTGGAGCCCCTGGCCGTGTGCCGGGTAGAGGGGCTCCTCTGATGGAGGCTTTGGGTGCTGGGCTGTGGGTCATTCCAGGTTTGCTGATCTGGGAGCCCTGCAGGAGGGGACCCCGGCTTCACCACCGCAGCCTACCATTCAGCCTGCCCACTGCTGCCTCCTGCCAGGGCCAGGACTGTAGACCTCTTTCCTGACTTAAGACACTGCCCAACTGCTGCTTTATGAATAATGGCCACGCCCAATCACCCCAGATTCTGCTGTGGGAACAGCTGGGGCTCTGGGGACGCCATGTGGGCTCAGCACTCCAGGCGGCTTGTTGCCCAGGTGTGTGAGGTGGCCGAGAGCATCACACCAGTGTCCCATCCACAGGCCTCACACACGCTGCCCCAGGTGTGTGGCCAGGCTCTTGTAAGTCTGGCTGAGGCGGGACCAAGTGAGACCTGCTCTAACGCTTTCCTCAGGCGAAAATAGTGCGGCCATGTTATTTGGCCAAAGTCCACCCATCCCTACTCAACTAGCCTTGCGGGCAGGCCTGCTGCTGCTCAGTAAGTGTTCAACACTTCTTGGGAGCCCACAGTCCTTCTGGATTCCCCATGGGGGCTCGGCTAGAGCAGGGAGCCCTGAGACCACACCACCTGGTTCCCACCCGCCGGCCCTGCAGGCGTGTGTCCAGGCAGCACCGAGTTGCAGGACTGTGCTTCTTTTTGTTCCGTAGGCCTTCGTCTCTATGCCCCCTCTCCACCTCCTGCAGCCCCATCCTGTTTTCTTGTTTAGATAATTTCCATGCTACATGGTGGATGTACCTAAGACCCATGTCACAGATCGGACCCCGAGGCTGGGAGACATCACGTGCCACAGATGCCTGTGAGCCTGACCTGCACAAACCACAGGCAGCCAACTGGACTGGACTCACATGCAGGGAAGCTGAGCTCGTGAGGGCTGAGCAGCCCTGGAGGCCTCAGGCAGCGGTGTCTGCCCAGGGCAGGGATGCTCGGCCAATGCTGAGGGCTGCAGCCCCCACAGCGCCAGGGCATGGGGAGTGGGGCTACTTGCCCACACTTCTTAAAGTGCAGTAAAATGTTAATTGAAACAAGGCAGGTTTAATGACTAGGCTTTTCCAGCAAATTCTGAGGTCCCTGAAGACACTGTTCCAGATGGGAGTTTCCCAGGAAACCCAGTGAAGGGAGCCCCTCCCGTGCCAAGTGCCACCCAGGTTTCTCTGTGCATCACTACTCTGGACCTGGCAGAGTGGGTACTGAGTGAGGGGGTTGGACACTGGCAGTGAGGGAGGCCAAGGGGCAGGGGCCTATCTCCCTGCATGTGTTCTAGAACTCTCTAGAAGGCAGACCTCTGCTCTCTTCCCATGAAGAGTTGTTGCCTGCTCTGCTGCAAGGACAGCTGGGCGAGCGCAGGGTGTGCTGTGCAGACTTCATCACGGGGAAAAGGCAGTGGCAGGAGGGTGTGGCGAAGGGTAGCCTCCGACCACCTGGGTTGTCTAGATCCCTGCTCCAGGCGGCAGGTGCGGACACACCCATGGGCCCCCAAGCCTTGGAGGGCAGACGCTGCTGCAGTTCCAGGACAGGGTGGATGCTGAGAGCAGCCGCGCAGGGTCAGCAGACCCTGGCACAAGACACTCGGCACCAAGCACTGTTGGCCTGCTGGGAGGCAGGGTGCCAGGCATGTCTTCAAGGGCCTGAAGAAATGGGTCTGGCACAGGCCAGCCTCCAACCTGATGCTGGGCGGCCTCTCAGCACAGGGTCCTGGACGGGCTGCAGCGAGTTCTGACTTCCTGCTCCCAGATGGTGGGAAGGCTGCTGGGTGGGCGGGAAACTGTCCTGTCTGTCGGTGCGCCGGCTGGCCTCTCCATCACTTAGTGGACTTCTGCTGTGCACAGAGTCACAGCGCGGGCACATGCAGACATCCAGCGGGAAGGAGGCGCAGCTGTGCCTCGTTTGTTCTCCCATCTGAGGGCCTGTCAGTCATGTCACACTCCGCACCTGCTACGAGCTGCACCTACATTGTATCAGGTGAGTGGAGTCCATCTACAGACTTCCTACTGTAGCCAAAGTAACTGATTTTGGTATGAAAATCACACAAGCCCAGGTTGCTTTCTGTGCTTTAATGTTCCCCAGGCCCCCGGCCCGGCCATCAGCTCCTGTCGGGCCTCCCCTCCACTCACTCGTTTGGTCTGTTTGCAAGTTACTCGATAATACAAAAATAACCACAAATTCTGTGTCTGGCATATAAAAACTGAGCAAAAATTATCCCATCGCTCATTACCTTAAAACAAAACATCTTGGAAAAAATACAACATAGGTTTTTAACTTCTGCAGTATTTTTTCATATAAAACACTAGTAAAATAGGCTTCTTAGAAATTAAATAGTGAAATATCAACCACATTATACACATCGTTACAGTACAAGTGAATGAGGCCAAGTACCCAGCTGTGTCTCAGGGCTGAGGGAGGGGCCGCTGCATGCGGCTTGTGTGGCCTTTCTCCTGAGATCGCAGTCACTTGAGCAAGAGCAGCGGACAGATGGACAGATGGCCCAGTGGGAAGACTGGTGCTCCTGGGCGGGCGGGGACAACGGCGTTACTGCTCATTCCTCCAGGTCTCTCTGTCATGTAGGCTGTAGCTCAGGCCGCTGGTGCAGAGAGCAGCGGAACTGACACAGAGCGCACTCAACCTAAGCCGGTGATCCTTTTTCTAGGGGTGTGGGTGCCACAGATCCCCAGATCCCAGGGCAGGCAGCAGGGGCCGAGCACCTGACCCCTGCCAGCCCTTCTCTGAGGAGCATCTAAGTCCGGCGCCGCTTGGCAGCACTGGGGCTGGAGGGGTTGCTGTTGGCGGTCAGGACCTTGTCGGTGACTCGGCTGCGCTTGCGCTTGTCCACCCCTTCCTTGGCCCCCAAGTCTGAGGAGTTCTTGTCTCTGTCTTTGCTGCACTTTTCGGTTGCTTTCCCCAAGCTTCCTGAAGATGAAAAAACTGGGAAATAAAATCATTTGGCTGAAAACAGAATATCCAGAATTTTATTTCATCTTCTTGTTCAGTTAGAAAATTCTGTATCTACACATATGACGCTCTGAACCCACAAGCTTCTCCTGAGCTGGGGGCCCCTGCCCGGCCCACAGAGCACCTGGTCCTCCTGAGGACGTGCCCACCATTGGGGCCTCGGGCACCACACGCTCAGGCTGCAGGACCCGCCCTGGCCGCCACTCACGCCTGTGCTGCAAGGTGGAGCCAGCTTTTGCTACTCAGAGTTTGTCCTGTACTGAGGCCTCTGGCACTGCACACTGGGTCCACCTGACTGGGCCCGCCGGTGCCCGGGGCCGCCCTGTGGTTCATTCATGGTGTCGGCCACACGCACGATGTCCATGCCCGGCGAGGCTCCTGCCCGAGCAGATGGAAGCTGCCTTTCAACTGCTGGACCAGACAGAGTAGCTGTGGCTGCAACGGGCTAGAAATTCAGGCTGGGGACCTGCGCTGTGCCCTGTGGGAAGGCCTTGCCAGGGGTGGGTGCTGTGTCCCCCGGGACCCCGGTGGAGGGACGGGAGAAGCTACACACTTACCATCATCGGCTCCATTGTGGGGGTCCATGTCTTCCTTCATTTCCTCCTTCATTTCCTCTTCAATGGTCACTTTT